GTCAGTTTTTGTATGTATGGAAAAGTTTTGTTTTTGTTTTTTAATCTTAATTTTTGAAAGATGTTTTTACTGGTTATAGAATTTCAGATTAACAGTTTTTTGTTGTTGTTTTCTTTCAGTACTTCAAAGATGCTGCTCCATTTTCTCTGGTTTGCATTTTTCTTGTTTTTTTCTTCCTCTGTATATAATGCGGTTACATTGTTTCTTTTTTCCTCTGGCTGCTTTTAAGATTCAGTCTTTATCACTGGTTTTCAGTAGTTTTAATTTTGAGTATGATGTGCCTTGATACCATTTTCTCATGGTTTAGGGCTTGCCAAGCTTCATGTAGTTTTGGGTTTATAGTTTCATCAAATATTTTCTTTCACCTTCTCTCTCCTCTTACTGTAATTTCAATTAGAGATATATTGGCACACTTGATCATTAGTGCTCTGTTGCTGAGTTTTTGGTTATTTTTTCCACTGCTTCATTTTTGATAAATTCTATAGCTATATCTTCAGGTTCACTAATCATTCATAAATCACAAAGGAAATAAGAAAATACTTTCAGTTGAACGAAAAAAGCACAACAAAACTTATGGGATGCAGTGAAAGCAGTGCTCTGAGGGAAATTTAACTAACTTTATACCTTAAGAAACTAAAAAAAGAAGAGCAAACTAAACCCAAAGCAAGCACAAGGAAAGAAATAATAGTGCAATTAAATAAAATAGAAAAACAGAGAAAATCAATGAAACCAAAAAGTAGTCTTTGAAAAGAAAGCAAAATTGACACACTGGCCAGGCAAAAAGAAGACTTAAATAACTAAAATCAGCAATGAAAGGGCATATTACTGCAGACTTCACAGAAATAAGGGTTATGGGGGAATATTATGAACAATTGTACACCAACAAATTAGATAACCTAGATGAAATGGACAAATTCCTAGAAAGACAAAGACTACCAAAACTGACTTGAGAAGAAGAAGAAAATCTGAATAGATCTGTAACAAGTAGGGAGATTGAATTAGTAATCCAAAGTCATCCCACAAAGCAAATGTCAGGCCCAGATGGCCTTCCCTTTAAAGAAGAATTAACACCAATTCTTAACAAACTCTTCCAAAAATTAGGAGAGAACTCTTACTAACTCTGTGAATTCTATATTACCCTGATACCAAAACTAGATAAGACATTAAAAAATTACAGATCAATATCCTTTATAAATATAGATGTCATGGATTGAATTGTGTCTCCCAAAAAATGTGTGTATCAGGTTGGCTGGGCTATGATTCCCAGTATTGTGTGGTTATCCTCCATTTTGTGATTGTAATTTTGTGTTAAAGAGGATTAGGGTGGGATTGTAACACCCATATTAAAGTCACATCCCTGATCCAGTGTAAAGGGAGTTTCCCTGGGGTGTGGCCTGCACCACCTTTTATCTTACAAGAGATGAAAGGGAAGCAAGCAGAGAGTGGGACCACATACCACTAAGAAAGCTGTGCCGAGAGCAGAGCACATCCTTTGGACCTGAGGTTCCTGCGCTGAGATGCTCCCAGATCAAGGGATGACAAGGACCTTCCTCCAGAGCCAACAGAGAAAGCCTTCCCCTGGAGCTGATGCCCTAACTTTGGACTTGTAGCCTACTAGACTGAGAGAATAAATTTCTCTTTGTTAAAGCCATCCACTTGGGGTATTTCTGTTACAGCGGCACTAGATTACTAAGACAGTAGGCGTTATGAGTATAGACATTAAAATTCCAGTTTGTAAATTGTCTTTTGATTTTATGTATGTTGTTTGTGTTTCTATCATGCAAAAGGTATGTTTTATTTGAATGTACTCAAGTATATCATAATAAGCCAAAATTAAGTTTTTCCATTTATTTCATTTTTGCATCTGGATTTTGAATCAAAGAAAATCTTTCCCTCCCCTTAGTTGCAAAAGAATCATCCATGCTTACTTCTAGTACTTGTATGGTTTGCTTTCTGACTTATCTGGTACTGCTTGCTTATTGTTCCTATTTGCCTAGAAGACCTCTGGCATTTGTCTAGTAAGTCAGCAGCATGAAAACTTATATCCAGGGCTGGAAAACTGGAGATTCGTGTGGTGCAGTGACAAAACAGTTGTTAAAATTGCAATTACTTGGACGACAGGCCACATGCCTACTGACTCAGTAGCTCTAAGATAGAAAAAAAGAGATGGGCTGTGGCAATAATTTGCTAGTTTGCAAGCAAAAGGAAAAAAAAATGGAAAAGCCAATTTTTTAGACCCAAATGGTAAGAAATTGTGGACAAAGTTCCATTAAGACTTTACTTTCCAGCATAGATCTGAGTATGAGTATGTCACTTTTGCCT